TATTTGCTCTCTTTCTATCGGAAATTGCCTTTCCAATCCTTATTTCACTGAAAAGGTTGATTCATTCATTGACATGTGCCTGAGTGGTTACTTCCTGTGGGAAGCTTTCCTATTCATCAGTGTCATTTTTCTATCCATGCACACAAAAAGTCAAGTGAGTACACAGGGACAAGGCAGTCTTCTGCGAACCATGAAGTGAGCGTTGACCAGAAGGTGACCAGACGAGAGTAGATGTCACAATTCCAGGATTGTAACAATGTACTGGGCTATTAGGGGGTATTCAAACAATACAAAGATATTTGTGAAGTCCCGGGTATGGTAGCGAGCTCCTGTAGTTCCGCAGACAAAGCAGGCGGAGTTGGACGGATCGGGCGATCCCATCAGGTCGAGGTGGCAGTGGGCGGGACCGGCCACTGCACTCCAGTCTGGGTGACAGTGAGAATCCAACTCAAAAAAAAAAACAAAAAACAAAAAAAAAACCTCACAGATCCCTGAATTTACAAAAGGAACTCAAAATCTGGTTTCCAAAAACCTAGGTGCCTCATTAACCATGAAGCTTTGAGCAAGCCTCCCATCCCGTTTTGAGCTAGGATGTCTCCATCTGTAACATGAAACAAACACCTTCAGGGCAAGTGTGAGAATCAAATGTGGCCAAGATTTGCGACACATTGGATAAATCAGGACATGTCAACAGTTGTTGCTGCTCAAGTGAAGTGGCTTCTCTACTGATGTGTGACCAGTCAAGTCTGCAAGTGTCTTCATCTGTGAAGTGGGAGTCAGTAGTAGGTGAGGCTTGAACGAGCTCGTGTACCAGTGTCCTTAGAGCTGGGTCTGTCGCATGAAGTGCACAATAGAAGTCCTAGCTGTTACTAATAGCAACAAGCGCAGTGTTTGACCCATGTCGTCTTATCTGCCAACAATAGAATGTCTGGTTTTTTGCTAGAATCTCTAAATTTTTCTAGAAGTCAAAGTCCAAGGCCCTATCTCCCCCTCCTCTGTGTGGTCTTTCTGTTTTATTCACATAAGTCTAGGGTTGCGCATTGTTAAATCCATGACTTAAGGGTGAAGATACTAGCTGGCATTACTACTGCAAAAAGCATCTTAAAATACCTCTGTGTTCTGAGGGCTTCCTGCAGAGTTGTCCAATGTTGGATGCATTGCTGAACCCCAAGTGAGCAGGTAGCTATGTCCACTCATGTGAGCAGGTAGCTATGTCCACTCCCTCTAAGGGAGTTTGTCAGCCTTTGGAGATGGGTCAGAGTGGAAGGATATTGTAGAGTTGTGTATACCAGCAATATGTTTGTGTTTCCTTCTGTGGAGACATTTCCAAAACCTAAACTTATAAACTTTTTAAAGAAACTGATTTTGATGTAGACAAATAATCAAATTCATGCCTGTAAAAAAGGAGCAAATTGCCCAGCACGGTGGCTCAAGCCTGATGTCCCAGCACTTTGGGAGGCCAAGGCGAGAGGATTGCCTGAGCCCATGGTTCAAGACCAGCCCAGGCAACTTGGCGAGGCCTCGTCTCTAAATAAATCAAGAAATTAGCCAGGCGTGGTAGTGTGCACCTGTAGTTCCGGTTACTTGGAAGACTGAGGCAGAAGGATCACCGGAGCCCAGCAGGTTGATGCTGGGGTGGCCTTGAGTGTGCTACTGCCATTGGTTGACATTGGAGTGGTCATGGGCAACGGAGTGAGACTCCGATTTAAAAAAAAAAAAAACGCAAGCTGGCTGCTAAATCCTACCTTAATCACTGTTACCCCAAAAGGCAGCTTCATCTCCTGCCCTTGTCTCTCCAGACCTAGAACACCCTTCTTGTCCACCTGGAAAATGTGTCCTTATCGTTCATGGGAGGGAACAACCATTTGTTGAACCTCCACTGTGTCCTGGGCTCTGCCTCAGTCCTTCAAGTTCTTGATCCTGGGGACTCCTCGCTGACCTTAAGGGGAACGACGGTCTCCCCCATTTAACGAACGAACCTGGCATCACAAGCAGCCACCACATCCCCCTGTTGCCATGACCACGATTCCTAAATTGTCTTGGGATCACAAAGACAGAACTCTAGTCTGAATGGCACCCCAGAGGGGCACAGCACAGTAGCCCTGGTGTCAGCCACTAAATGCTAGGTTTAGGCTGCAAGCCTGAGTCAATAATGAATTTCCCATTCCACCCTCTCCCACGTTCTTAATTCTTCCTTCCTTCCTTTTTTTTTCTTTCTTTCTCTTGTCTTTTTCTGTTCTTTTCTTTTCCTTTTCTTTCTCTTAAGAGATGGGTCTAACTGGGCGCAATGTTGCAAGCCTGTAATCCCAGCACTTTGGGAGGCCGAGGTGAGAGGATTGCCTGAGCCCACAGCCTGGGCAACTTGGTGAGACTTCATCTCTACAATAAATCGAAAAATAAGCCAGGCATGGTAGCACACACCTGTGGTTCCAGCTACTCAGAAGGCTGAGGCGGAAGGACTGCCTGAGCCCAGCAGCTGGAGGCTGCAGTGGCCGTGAGTGTGCCCCTGCACTCCAGTCTGGGTGACAAGAGTGAGACTCCAACTCAAAAAGAGAGAGATGGGTCTTACTCTGTTCCCCAGGCTAGTCTTGAACTTCTGGCCTCAAACGATCCTCCTGCCTTGGCCTCCCAAAGCACTGAGATGACAGAAATAAGCCACCACACCCAGCCCCACATTTCCCTTTTTAGAAGATGTTCCCAGTCAGCTTGCGTTCGAGAGAACGCAGGCAGGCACCAGCAGCAAGACTGCGCCTTCACACGGCTTCATGCTCACAGCAGCCTGCGAGGGAAGTCCTATTATCATCATCCCGGCATTCACGACCGGCGGCAGCGAAAGCGGATGATTTTGTTGAGAGAGAATGCGAAGGACAGAAAGAGCCTGCTCTTGCCATTTAAATGAAAATAGCTTTTGGGGGCTCTAAAAATCATGCGTGCTCATTATAACAAATGGAAATGAGATGGAAAAGCACCAAGTAACTGAAATCCCACCATCAGACAG